GGTCAGGCCGGTCGACAATGGCGGGGGGGGGGGGGTTGGGGATGGACCCTCAGCTTTACAAAAGCTTACCTCATGATCGTGAAGCTGATCGACGTGTATGGGAGTTGTTGATAAAAAGTCAAGCCAAAGGCAAATAAGTACCTTGAACTCAAAAGCCCTTAACCCTAGCCCTAAACCCTAAGTCCCAGGAAAGATCGAAGAGGGCCCTGCTTTGCCTTCACATCATCAGCGTGATCATGAGCGTCATCATAAGCATCAGGAATGAGATGAAAAAGTGAAAGCTTGTAAGGTTCGGGTGAAGGGTGTTTAGTTTTTTCGGGATCAAAAGTTTGAGCCGACGTGCTTCATGCCCATCGCAGCATGACCGGACGAAATGTCCAAGCCATGAAAGTATAATATGCCTCCGCGTTGAAACAGTGTTCGGTCCTCTATGCTTCCAACAAAAGTTTCACAAATTTGGTTGTGGCGATGGGCTACGCAGTCTTGGGGCTTTGAGTTGGATGCGGCCCATGATGGGTCGACAACGAAAAGAGAGTTGCGTGACTCTTCGCACGGCCTGTGTACACATGTGTGTGCGTACGCACATACGTGCATGCTTACAGACACATTCGTGTGTGAGTATACACGAATATGTGTGCATGCTACACACCTGTCTATGTACGCGCGCCTTTAGGCATGCACATGCGAGAAAAAAAATATGTGCTCGCACTAATTCAAGCATGCGTGCATACAGCCAGCCGTGCACGTACATGTGAATCCGCCCACACGTGTATGCAAATGTGTGTGTGTGTGCGAAAGCGCATGGATTCTTGCGTGCACACCACATGCAAAGTTTTGCATACCGATGCGGTACATGATGGTGACACGAGACACCAACCAAGAACCCGCAAGAGCCGGGCAGAACCTAACATGCACCAAACACGAATAAATCCCACGGCGCAAAGCCCACGCGCAGTGCGCAGACATTTGAAGGAACAAAAGCGTCATCTGTGACACGCCCGATACACATGTGTGACATGATAGCTGTACAACTTCTACGCCAACCATAGCAAAACTGGACTTTTCCCACAAGCATTTTTCAACCTCATTCATCTCAAAGCCAGGACCAACGGCTGGTACGTGGAAAGCCCAACTTACGGTTGACCTGACGTAGCTATACTCAATATGTTTGGTATCTTTTTGTAAGGGTAAAGGTTGCTCTAGGTTTTGCGTACGGTTTCGATTTTAGGTGTGAAGGTTTATTGAGAAGTCTCTCGCGGGGGCGTTGCTTTTGGATTTTCACAGCTTGGGGTGTAGCTTCTGGGGCTTGAGCTTCGGTTTTGGGATTTAAGGTTTGCAGTTGGGGGTTTGTGGGTTGTGGCTCAGGTGGGTCCAGAGGAGGGTTTGTTCACTGGGGCAGGAGCAAGCCTTTTTTCTCCTTCGGTTTCCACGAAATTGTCCATGTTTTTTTTCATTCGATACTGCTGTACATGTACCTCGTTGTAACTTGAAGTTTCCCTACCCAGAAAGCCCTTAAACTTAAACCTTCAACCCTGAATCTGAAACCCTGAACAAATCTGAGACCCTAAACCCAAAACCTTGAACCTGGAACCCGAAGCCCGAAACCCTGAACCCGCAACTCAAAGCCTTAAACCCTAAACCCTAAACCTCCAAGAATCGAAGGCCGAGCCGCTGCGGTCTCCCTGTGGCTAAGCCCAGAGGGTGGGAAGCTTGCGTGGTGCCTCGTTCCCGGGGCGCAGGTCTCCTGGGTTTAGGGTTTAGGATTTAGGGTAAGATTTAAGTGTGTTTTGGCGATAGCAGGTTTTCTATGGGATTACTTATAATCTTTAAGGGTTGGCTGATGAAGGTGGATTTTGGAGTTGGGATTTATTGTTTGGGGCCGCGAGCTGCAGGTTTATGAATTCTGGCTGAGAGTTTACATCCCTCTCACCAAAAGCCACGCTTATCTCCAAGGAATGTAGCATCTGAGGGTTGGGGCGCCGGAAATGCGTCGGTGGCTACCCTCCATGTCATCCTTCTGGAAGTCAATTGGGAGAGTGTCTCAAAATCTACCTATATGGATCTATGGCTTGAAGCAGGCTACACAATCTTCAGCCAAACCGTCACACCCCTAAGTGCCCAACAAGCACCCAAAGCCTAAGAGTTAGAGCCACGGACGCACAGGGTCAGGGACATGGCCTCGAGGTGTGTGGAAGAGTTGTTTTGGGCACACCGCAAACCTTCCAAGCCCCATACAATCTACCCCGAACCCTGAGCAACGAAATCTCGAAAACTAAGCCCAAACGCTGACACGGAAGGCCCACACCAAAACGTAAACAGCATCCAAGTCTCATTACCGGGTGCCTGTGCCTGAATCAGGGTAACTTGCAAAAGCAGGGTCCAGCGCAGCATGTCTCGAAGCTTCGGCAGAGGCATGGAGCTGCGAAAAGGCTTAGGGATTAGCGCGTAAGCTACGGACTTAGGGATCCAAGGCTTCTGGATGAGGCATGGACGGATTGGGGCACAGGATTCGGAAACGTCAGCGTTGAATATTTCAATCTTGAGGGGCAATTAATTTGTCGATGACGGGGGATACTGAGAGGTAGGGGTTCGGAGGATTTGAGAGTAGGGTTAAGATGGCGGGGGAGGGCGGGTGTTCCGAGTCTTGAGCCCAAGGTCAAAAATATGATTCGATGATAAACACTTCAAGGTAAACTCCACCATCGCAAACGAAAAAAGGACCAGAATGGAAGCAGAGGCTTTGTTATAGTTCTGGTAATCAAATAAGCCCTAAAACCTAAACCACACCTTCAAAGATGAGCGTGACCCGGCCGTCACGCCTCGTCCATCCCAGACCTTTCAACCCGAAACCCAATGTCTCAGAAGCCCATAAACCAATGCAATGGGTCTAGGGCCTAGGGGCCTGAATGGTGATCATATTACGGCTTTCGGAACCGAATGGGAAAGAACATAAACTGAAATGGAACCTTGGCTGCTGTAGGGATTTGTAGGGGTTGTGATTTAGAATCCCAAAAACATTCGAGCATTCATAAAGGGCTTAGAAGCGCATAGTGATGTCTTAATTCATAAGGGAAGAATGATGGCATGATTCATGAGCTCCCGAGATAAACACCTATGACCTCTGATTACATGCCCATGCCTTCCCTTTACTTAGGGGTTCCTGGTAGGAATTAAAATTCAGGGAGTATAATCCCCGTATCATCCCTAGGTACTCTATTCCATTATTCCCTACTAAGAACCAATAAGTATAACATGATGTCCAACAAACTCAGCTAGCATTGTTGTTCCGTTCTTCTCTCTTTGTGGATACCTTGCCTGCCAAAGCTTGAGAGCGAGATTTCATAGCACTGTCCAAGGATTGCATGAAAGACAGGGCTGCTGTTACGGAACTTGAATTCAGCTACTATTTTCTGGGTATACAATCAACAATGGGGTTCCTTTTCATAGCCATTTAAACCCTAAACCCCAAACTAGTAGTGTCCAGTTTCTTTTCCAGAATACCCATGGGTTCCTGAACAGCAAACCGATGGGGGTAAGTTGAGAGTTTGGGTCAGAGCTCAGGGTTTGAGATGTGAGGTTTGTAGAAAGCCCACCATCTCTCATTGTGGGAGGATTCCTCGAACAGTACTAGTGATGTAGAAAGCCTGCTCGTTAGACCCTAGACCCTGAAGCTCTAGCACCCCAAACCCTAAAACTCTCAAAATCTATACAAAGCTTAGCCTGAACACCCTTAACCTTGAGAGGCCAAGGCCAAAATCCCACTAGTGGCCCCTAGCATACGGTGGTTTCCGAAATGGGGCACCTCAAGATAGACACCAAAATACTACAGTCCTTACTATGGAGACCCCCATTGTAATACCTTACTTTTTGGAAACTAACATATAAAGACTCGGTTCAGGGTTTAACGTTTGGGGTCCGCATCTGCGCCCAGGTTTTAGGGTTTAGGGGTTTTTGGACCTTTCTTCTCCAAATTTGGAGACCCGGCTTGGGGGATCTTTTGACTTGGACCACAGGGCGTGCAACAGAGGTTATGAGGGATCGGAGGTAGGTACTTACAAAGTCTTAGTAGTCATCCAAGCGCGGGCCCTGTTTCGATTGCTGTGGGTCTTTCTTGACTGCTTTTAAAACGCCAACCCTAAACCCTAAACGTCTAGCTGGCGCGGAGCCCCAAAAGAGGGCCCCCCCCCAATCAAAGCTGCAGCGATGGCAGTCCGATTAACATCATCTAGACATGATCAAGTTTGGCTTGGGGTTAAAAATCTCTCCAAAAGAGAGCCTCGCGAAGTTCTACGTTAATTTCTGGGAGGGTCCACGTCTACCCCTTGCCATGATTGAAACCATGGACCCCAGACTCCTCAGAGCCCCCAAGTCCGAAACCCTAAACCCTAAATCCTTGAAAGCTGAAAGCTGCACCCAAGGCTAAGGGTTACCAAGGGATCATGAAAAGTGGACATAGGGATCCTTTGGTAAACACAATTTCTTCAACAGGAACCCACGTCCATGAGCTATATAGGAAGGAGATATGGACGGTGGCTTCTACGGAGGCGTTGTATAAGGATGACATAGGGATTACATGGATCTAGATGTGGGGATGACATAGTACAGGTTGATCCTTGTTAAGGATCCCAGCACCGGCGTATCTGACAGTTGTCGAACCCGCATGTTTGCCAGACCCTTTGCAACAGAAAATTTTGGGAGTCTAGGTACAGCTTGAACCGAAGCTAGGGCAGGATGCCCTCTTCTGGGTTGCTGTGAAAAAATTTAATTTGAATTACTATATTTGGGATGCCCTATTATTTGCCTTAAAAATAAAATACATACCCATTGCGGTAACTTAGTGTTGCCGTCCTGTCTTTTCTATCGCAGGTTGCCATCTGATTCGACCTCAGCAGCAAAGACGTGGGCTTTAGGTGTCAGGGCAGGGATACAGGGGTCGAAGTTTTCAGAGTTTAGGGTTTAGGGTTTAGGGCTTTCAGATTCGTGGTTGAGGTATCCTTGTATTTAGCTGGACTCCGCAAAAGGGGACCCCGAATTTCTGGGACATCCCCATATCCTATATGCCCTATACAACCCCCTATGTACCCTTATCTAAAACCCTTCCAAGGGACCCATACTTGTATTGTTGTGAAGTTTCGAAACCTACTTCCCATTGCGTTGGACTCTGATGCCCCACGGCCTTCCGCATACGAGATGTGCGCTACGCGTCTATCGAACAATGACTTGCTGTCGGATGCAGCCCGTTAAGGCCACGTTCTTCCCATGCCACGCGGGGATCACGTGGAAAAATCTACCAGGACCTTCCTTGTACCCTTTCTTGGGGGTATATGGTCCCTAATAGTGGGTGCTTAGGCCCTAATAGAGGGTAGGAGGAAGGTCTAGGTAATCTTACTGACGAAATGCCCCTACGTTACGCAAGCAACCCACCATGGACTAGACGATCGCTGCGCTACGAAGAAAAATGAAGCTGGAAGAAGAGCTCGAAAACAGTCTAGGCAAACTCCACATCCGAAAGCAAAGTCTAAGGCGGTTGAGGGGTTTTGGGCTTAGGGCGCCACACCCCTAAGCTTACTTACTCTTGGCACGTATTCTCAACCCGTCCATAAGATGGCAACAGCAAACACTAACTGAACAGTAAGGCCTGCGAGCTTTTCTAGAACCTACACGGTAGACTGCCACACAGCTAGGGGTTTTGGAGGTTGGCCCGGGGCCACTTCAACATTTGTCTATGGCTTTGTGGAGAGTATATGGGGATGAAGGATAGCAAGCACTGAAAGTCCATTTCAAACCTAGCCCTCTTTAGAGATTGGGGTCCAACCAATTACAATCATGACCCTGAAGTGGCTCTGTAGCCCCTACATGCCGCCAGCATACCCAGGAAAACTTCCGTGTAGCTCAGACCCCCATACCCTAAACCCTGAACCTTTAAGCATGCGTCAACTACCGGAAAAAGTCTTTTTTTTATCTTTTTTAATCGGTGAATTTTCGCGACCTCAACCCCCAAAATCAGAACCCTGTAACCATCATATGATAGTCATAGGGTCCTAATTTGGGGTTGGGGTTAAAAAACCATGTATCATTTTCAACATGGTTCCTATGCAAGTACTGGCGTCTAAACATATATGTTAGGGGTGCTACAAGCTGTCCGGCTAAGACGTATGCTATGATAGCAGACATTTCGGCACAAACGTTTCCATGACAATCTACTTTCCTGAAGCGCGAGAATATGTGGGAGAATGGACTTGTTTGGTTGTTTCACGGCTTTGGGCTATTAGTTCGCCTACTTTCTGCGGTCCAGGTGGGATCTTTTAGGCCCTACAGTCTGCCTTGTCAGCCTACATGAGTGAACGGATGTTGTGAAGGAGGGAATAACAACAGCACGCACAGCAAATGCTTCGTACAATCTTCATACTTAGCAGGTCTGCATCTTTACATTTTGGGAAGGTCTAGGCTTCTCTAGTTGAACTTTAAACTCTTAACCCTCAACACCATTTTTGCACCTCCCCTTCCCCCGGGGCCTCTTCTGCGATAGTTGCGAGAGCCTGGACTGCATGCTGGTGGTTCTCGTGAAGATTTTGGCAGGCGTTCGAACAATGAAAAGACTAGCCAGGCGGGAGGTGTTGCCTTTGAGTCTTGGCTTCAGGGCCACTTGACTACAATTCGAACACGCAAGCCGTTGGCCACGAACTTCTAAGTCTAAGTGTTCTGCCCATGAATCTCCAAATGGTCTGGGGGGATATCCACGCACAATCCAGAAACCAAAAACGCTTATGCACCCTTAAACTTACGCACATCCCAACCACAGATGCACCTGGGAAGACAAACTCTTTTGTATCGATGTCCGCGCCTCCTTAGGCTGTGGATGTTCGCAGGATTTGTCAAGGCTAGCAGCAATGGAGCTACATGGAATTTCCACAACAGGCCAGCCAACGTATCAACACCAAACCGAAACTGCGCGGCCCCGCAACTCAACAACCATACTCTCACAAACACAACACCAGCAGAATCTCTTGCTGTTTCATTGGTCATTATGGGCTCACCTCGTGATTTACGAAAGGATTTACTAGCTCATTATTGCAGCGTCACCTCGGGAGAAGCCGCCATCCAAATGCCAGCACGCACTTCTACTGTATGTATGCATCTCTATTGAGAGGCAGGTTACCCAAATGCTCAAAACCAATGCCGGAGAAAGCACGCTCGAACCCTACAAGCACGTAGAGCAAGAAACCTGAACCCCAGACATAAGCCCGCACTCTACACAGATAAAGGTCTTCCACATTTCTTCTAGGTCTTGATGCTCTGCGTGGCCTGGCGAGGGCGCCGGCGTCTGCGCGCCGTGACTTGGGCGGCCAGCGCGGCCTACACGGGCCATCGGTTTGTCAACTTGGGGGCCTCCTGACCGCTCATGATGCCACTGTAGAAGAGATCACATTGTCCGATTCCGTGTGTTCTTGCAACACCCATGGACAAGCTGTAGGGGTGTGGAAGTATGCGTTCGGGATCAAGAGGAGGACACGATAATACCGCAGGCTCTGTGCAAAAAGTCGCGAGACAAGGCCACTGTACTGGGTCCTTGCTTTCGGCTACGGAAAGTGCAGGCGGCCGCATGAGCCTTAGTCTAAACTCCTAGTATCCCCCTTAATAAGGCCTGTAATACTCCCTTATATAATCCCCTATACAACCCCCTTTAGGGAGTTTAGATTACAGCTCACCTGCTTGAAATGGTTTCTTGCGTGCAATTGTCTCCCCCAAGCCTTGAAAGGTTGACAGGATCATCACTTAGCAGGACCCCCCACCTTGTAATAGTGGTATATTGGGAATATATTTGGACCCTAATATAATCCATATTATCCCTTATAGTCGCTATTGCTGGGTGGGGGGTCCACTTAAATTCTCACTGGCAAGCAGTTGGCTAATCCAAGGAGATCCTGTCTATTGATTCCCTCATGCGATGCTAATATGTCTTGCGCAATCCGAACTATCCCCTGACGGAATGACTTTGGCACCTTTGGTTCGTAAGCCTACGGAGGGTCGAAGTACCCAATACTTCGGTACTTGATTTCTCGGTTTTGGGTAGTACAGTTTTCGGATAAGAAACTGATTCTTAGGCACTTGGAACCTTCAGATATGACCAACCCAAAACTGAAAACAAAGGACATAAGCAGCGACACAGCGGCAAGTAGGCCGGAATAGTCGTTGTGCCCTGAACACTAACCCCTAACTCCGTGACTCCTGTAAGCAACTTCTGAAGGTCCAAAGCTTTCAGCTGACGGCTTTAAAGGACTTCATTCTTCAGTTCAAAGCTGCTGAAGGTCGCGCTACCTCAAGGAGGATTTCTTGTAAGCTTTGTCATTATCATTACTACTATTACGAAACTATTGGTCTATATTCGGGTCCCGCGTTTCAGGGAAATTGCCACGCAAGTGGTCCTAGCCCAAGTCCCTGGACCCTAAATCCTAAACCTTCAACCCAAACCCTAAGCCCATCTAAACCTTAGCCCCAACCCTAAGCCATAAAACCTAAAACCTAGCCCCAACCCCTGAACCAAAAACCGCGCCTCCTCCTGAGCAACAATCAAGAAGGACCTGCCCACAGACGCTTTAGGGTTAAGGGTTTAGTTCAACTTCCCACAGGATTCCTTTAAATTCCCGTAACGCTCAAACGGAAATTTTATTTTCATGATTAGCATGGAGCAACGCGCGATGAAGATATGCTTTTCGCCATGGTCACAAACAACAGAAATTTCACCGTGCATGATTTCAGTGCAACTACGATGGGGTATGGGTTTTACCTTAGGCTTGATTCCGCAGTGTCTGAAAGCAAGGGCCCCTTTTGGGAGGCCTTATGCGTAAGAAAAACATGGAAATCAATGCTCTGAGGCTACTGCCTGACTGTCCTGAAGCCGATGTTTAAAAAGATGGGATTAATTACCCTGCAAAATTTCAAGCATCTAATTCTCAAATTTTGTGCCAGAAATGAACCTGATCTCAAGGAAAAACGGTCATCGCTAAACGTTCCTGAGGATGATCAAGAAAAAGCTCCGGAAACTTGAAAAATTACACCTTGTGCCACGACTCACAAATGTGTGATCACTCTAAACCCTACATAACCCCTATACAAGCCCTATGTAAACCTCATGTAATCCCTATATGAGGACTTCCAGCCCCCACCGGATCTCGACCTACCTGGCTTGCTGAAGCTCAATGCGTAGTCGTTCCAGGCATAGTAACGCATCGGTGGACCTCCACATACCCAGAGAGCCCAGTAAAAAGAATACCTTAAAATCGTATGAGGGATCCTAATATGATTTTCGGCAGATTTTTAATGAAAGGGTATTGGACCTCCCACCAAATTACTAAATCCCTTCATTGAGGAGTGTCTTATTCTTTCGCGGGCTCTGTGGGAAGGAGTTGATCTCGGAAGCTTGCCTTCAGCCTTAGATTGAAGCATCTTACTTACTTACTTAATTACACTTACTTACTTACTTACTTTCCAGTTATGTAAAGAGTGCTTGAAGGGGATATACAGTGTAAGCCGAATGTGCATCTAATTCATCTAGGTAGGTTGGGATGAAAGTCTTCTGCATGCGGAATTTACATGAAACCTGCGGATTAGGATCTCTGTGCCAATCATCCATACGTACAGTCATATTTCAAGAAGCTGTTGGCTTGTCCGGCTATATACATATTACATGTATATGTTATGTATATTGATGGCTGCTTGATTATTTACTTACATGTATGTATATACTCCCTAGACCCCGCAATGCGGACTCAGAAACAGCGAAACACTGCGAAACAGAAAAGCAAGTGGAGAAAGCGTTTATCTCCATCATTCGAACAGACAGGACCCCAAACCCTTCAAGCTTAACGTAAGTCGTGCCATGCAAATGGTGAGTGCCAAAGGCTTCCGCTATCTTTGGCAATCCTGCCCGACATAATGAGTATGGAGGCACTTGGGGAACATTGCTGAACATTACTTTGTGCAAAACCCGCATATCCTGCGCATTAAAAAAAAAGGTCTATGAAAATTGAGATCTCATGGTGGGCTTTGCAAGAGATCGCTGATTAGCGTTTTATGGCCCATTTTTGCAACCACATTAAGCCCTCTGTATTGAGACATCACCCACATTCACCAGGAATCCTCATCCTAGAATCCTTAGGCCCTCTGTGTTGAGACATCCCCATCTCCATGCTCCCGGGACTCTGGCTGTATGTCGGCTTGCTGCTGCGTCAGCAACCTGTAGGCTAAGGGTTGCTGAAAGCAGGATACCAGCAGATCACAACACGGGATCCGCTAACTAAACAGTACATCTGACTCTGCCTGCATCTTTTACAAGACTAGCAATGCCCCATGCTTCTACTATGTAGCTATTTGGATCAACCTCCCCCGAACATCCGGCAGCCTTGTAGGTTCGGGCTCGACCTTAGCCGCTTCGGCCTGCAATTGGGGACACCAAGGACAGCCAATTGTTCGCAATTTCTGGGTCCCTTTGGAAAGTGCTGGGATCCCACCATCGTGAGGATCCTAGGCGTGCATACATGTACTTAAAATCTGTGATGGGAACCAACGACGGTAGAATCCACAGCAGGTTATATTGCCTCTTATAACCCAGAAAAGGAATCAGGGGCTTTCGACTAAAATACTGTAAGCTCTACCGTAGACAATTTTGTTGATTCTCAAGTCCCTTCGTGACTGGACACCCCCATAATTCTAAATCCCAACGCCTGACGGTTTAACCCTCCACCCTAGGTCCTTCACCCCAAAGCCTTGACTCCTTTAATCCAAGCACGACTTTGGGGAGCATCTCTGAACAACCAGCTCGAACCCCCAAGAACGGCCCCCCTACACAATCCCCTTATAATCCCCAAATTCACAAAGTCATTCGAAGTGGTTTAAAAGCTTTTAGATTACATAACCCTTGCACGGCCAAAAGGTCAAATGGGGCTACTCTTACTACATGACAGCTGCTACAGCCTGAACGTGCAAGCGCTGCAGGGGTTCGTGAAGACTCTGTTTTTTTCTTGCGAAGCTTCTTGTTCAAACAAAGCCATAGATCCATGTGTTTGAGACAATCCGACTCACCTGTTCTCGGACAGTTCAGATAGCAAGAGCGGCCGAAATGCTCAGCGCTGTTTGACTGCTTGCCACAATCCCTGCCTCACTCGTCTGACCACAAAATGGATGGAATGCTCTTGCAAACTCAAGAAACAGTTGCGTACATAGTCCAAAAAGCTAGCCACGTGATATCAACCTGCCACTATCCATAGGACTGGGTCTAGGATCCCGCCTGGGGTGCTTGAAGCTCCCGCCTGGAAGCAGGGTGGTAGCTGATCTGGTGTTTGGGACTGTCAAATCCAGCCCACGACGGGGATTGCAAAGAAATGGATGCGGATAGGATTTCTCGCGGAATTTTTGTGATTTGCGGCTTCATTGAAAGGTTCACTGCGATCATGCACTGTTTGTCTTTCTGCACTCTACTCTACCCACGCATACTTATACTCCATACACCCCCAACCACGGACTCAGAAACAGCGAAACACTGCGAAATAGGGCGGCAGCAAGCGAAGAAAGCTTTTATCTCCAACATTCGAACAGACAGGAGCCCACACCCACCAAGCTGAACGTAAGTGTTTGTGCCATACGTATGGCGAGAGTCTAGCTTTCAGAATCATAATGAGTATGGAGGCACCTATGGAACCTTACTTCGAGAAATACCCACATTCTTCAGCAGCGGTAAAGATGGGTCCCAGAAAACTGTGATCTCATGCTGGGCTTCTACAAACGATCTTGGAACCCCGTTCCTGAGGCAGGTGCGCATATCTTGGGATGAGTTTCCTGCCGGTCCCCCAATAAACACAAAGGTTATATCCCATCATCGACGTTCCTCATCGAGGTTCACACAACCAACGATGTATGACCCATGAGAAGCAGCGTACACACTCAAGTCTCGACCTCCAGACGTTTCCATCTGGACTTTCTCACAGTGTCCCCTAACTGTTCGCTAGTAGGCGGCTTCCCCACTGGCCTAAAGATCTTCATCATAGAATCCTTAGGCCCTCTGTGTTGAGACATCCCCATCTCCGTACTCCTGGGACCCTGGCCGCAACTCGGCCAGCATCTGCGACAGCGACCTGTAGGCCAAGGGTTGCCAAGCGTAGCATGCGGCTTACACAGCAAAAGGATGGAGTATACTTTGCCGACACAAGGGAGTGACTTCAGAATTTGTCTGAGCTCTCATACAGGGGCCCGCAATGCTGAATCACGCTGTTCCAAGGCCAGTCTCGACTCTACTTCGATGAATCTGTTCTTGGTCATGCTCATGCTGTCTTGCAACTGGACAAGTACTTAAGTACTTGCAATGGCTGCTAGTGAAATTCCCTGCGAGCTCCTGCAGCACTCGGATCCTGATCATAGGCCAGCCGTCAAGTAACGAACAGCTGTCTCACGCAATGCTACACAATGCCAAATGCGTGCCAACCCTAATCACATCAGCAAAGCCAGCTGATCCGCGCAAAAGGTGCGACCAACAATGTGAGGGAGCTGCTGATATCACGTATTTGCCGATGTCTTGTCTCACAGTGGTCCTCCTAGAAAACAAGATATCGGCAGATCACAACACGGGACCCGCTAACTAAACAGTACATCTCACTTTGCCTACATCTTTTACAAGACTAGCGCTCCCCCGGGCATCCGGCGGCCTTGCTGGCTCCTGCAATTGCAGACACAGAGGACAGCCAATTGTTCACAATTTATGGATCCTCTTTGCAAGTGCTGGGATCCTACCATCGTGAGGATCCTAGGCGTGCATATATGTACTTAAAATCTCTGACGGGGACAAACTACAGTAGAATCTACAGTAGGTTATGTTGTTCTTATTCCCCCGAAGAGGAATCAGGGGGCTTTCGGATGAAATACTGCAAACTCTACCGTAGACAATCTTGTTGATTCTCAGGTCCCTTCGTGACTGGACACCCACAGTTTTGAACTCCAACGCATTACGATTTAGGAATGAACCCTAGGTCCTTCACCCTGAAGCCTTGACTTCTAACCCTGGGGCACGACTTTGAACTTTGGGGAGCATCTCAAAACGACCCGGCTGGCTTGGAAACCCCTACACAATCCTCTTACAATCCCGAAATCACGAAAATGTTCACATGAACACATATGGGGCAACTCTTACTGCATCACAGCTGCTACAGCCTGAACGTGCAAGCGCTGCAGGGGTTCGTGAAGACTCTGTCTCCTTATGCAAGCAGCAGCAAATTTATAAGTTCCAAAAAATCAGCTTTCTGAGATTCCAGAGCATGTTTTCCTTCCAAAACCCGATTTCCATGCCCATCTGCACGCGCTGCTCTCGACCCTTGTTTTACTTTTAAAACCTGTTCAGCCAACACTTTCGGCAAGAATAACCAAGACACAACAAGAATTCACGAAGCTTGAAGGGTGATTCAAGGGCTTTTTAGGGCTTCAAAGGCTTCAAGGGCTTGAAGGGAAGCTTTAAGGCCGAAAATGAAGAGAGGGCTCAAGCTTTTGAAGGGGACAGAGTTTCGAAGCTTCAAGTTTCAGCGCTAAGACTCCCCTTTATAAAGAGTCTTGGGTCCTTTTTCTGTCAAAGACATCCGACAGGGACGTAATCAATGTAGAAGCAGGCTGAGAGTAAAATTCTCCTGTTTTATTCCGACCCTATTGGAGACAGAGTGAGAACGCTTGAAGACTTAAAAGTTTTTCGACATGCCATGAGAAGAAAGAAAGCTTCTTGCAACACGACAAAAGTGTGCTTGCTGCTACCTAAAGCGAGAAGGGCGGGTCTGGAACGCTCGCTTCTTTGCCTTCCAGAGCACCCGCCCGAACAGCCGCCTGAACGCAGTTTCAAACCTGTTTTCAAGACATGGCAAAATAACCGGACAGCGAGACGAACTGTTCCGGCAGGGAGTGCGCTCCGTGCCCCGACGAAGGTCGCCCGAAAAGGGTCTGGAGTCTTGTCGGAAAGCCGCCGAAGCAGTTCCAAACCTGTTCCAAGGCACGGTCGAATGTTGCAAAGTAACCCGAAGGCTCACGCAATTCAAACACTCTGATACAGATGGTTCCGCTAAGTGACAACCAAAATAACGAAGCAGCAAATATCTTCTCAACCGCATTCGTGCAAAACACCAAATCACATGTGGACTACACGTGAAAACGTTAACACGTCTCAAAGTTTCACATCCTAGCATGGAGTAAATCAATTACTGCAGTTCACTTGGACACACAACAGCTGACGTCAACTTAGCAGCTACGCAAGCTGGCCACAGAGAAGGAAAGCAAGATCATGCTGGACTGGAGTGGGATCTTATGTCTTCAGGGAAGGTCGTTGAGCTGTCTGGAGTTCCAATACCAGCACTTGGCTTGAAATCCACAGATCATCTGCATAGTGTGGATTGGTGAGATTATTTTGATCCTTGTTTGATTGATCTAATCAAGCAGATGTCGGAGCCATAGCCTGCGCGGCCTCCTCTTGGCAACGCTAAGAATTTGGACTAGTTCATGCCTCACCACCTTCTTAGCAGGCGTTAGTAAAGAGAATAGGTAATGAATTTGGGGTAATAGAGAAGGGGGGTCATGTTTGTTAAAAATGACACCGCTTCTCAATTACCTAATTCATGCCTGACTACCTTTCTTAGCTGGCGCTAGCAACGATAATAGGGCTGGATTTGGGTAAAAGGGAACGGGGGTCATATTCGCCAAAAATGACCTAATTCAAAGCTTCTATTACCCAATTCATTTTGGCGTGGAGAAAAAGAAAATTCTTTTCTTCCACGCCAAAATAAATTAGGTAATAGAAGCTTTCAATAGGTAATAGAATAGGTGCTAGAAAAGGTAAAAGGGAATGAATTACGTAATAGAGAAAGGTGGTCATTTTCGTCGAAAATGACCACCCTTCTCTATGTTGAACCTGGATTCTGCCCCAATACTTGTTATGGTTGGTTTAGAAACCTGGATTTCAAGGTTGGTTGAATCTGAGTTCCGCTTGAGTTCTCGAATCGAGGGTAGAACAACTTTTTTTGGAGGCATCGTTGTTTGAACTTAGAGTTAAACAACTAGTTCTAAACTCAAGTTTCAATGTTGGGTTGAACTCGAGTTGAATCTGGGTTCGAATCTGGGTTCCACCCAGGTTGTAACCTGGGTTCGAACCTGGGTAATAACCTGGTTGTAACTTAGGTTTGCATTGAACCCACGTTTGAACCTTGGTTCGAACGCAGGTTCAGAATCCAGGTTCAAGCCAGACCCCAGGTTCGGAACTCAAGTTCGAACCGGATAGAGACCCGCAGCATCCTCAGCCAGGTTTTTCTAGATTGTCGCCTGGTTCGGAATCCAGGTTGGAATCAACACCCTTGATTCTTCAATTATCTTTCTTGGCAGGTGTTCGCAAAGATAATAGGGGATGAATAGAGAAGGGTGGTTAGTTTCGACAAATTTGACCACCCTTCTCCTACTTAATTCATTTCTTACTAGCTTGCTTAGCAGATGCTAGCAAAGATCATCGGGAATAAATTAGGTAATAGAAGAAGGCTGGTTAATTTCGTCAAAAAAGTCAACTCTTCTCTATTGCCCAATTCATTCCCCATTATCTTTGCTAGCATCTGGCAAGAAAGGTAGCAAGGAATTAATTAGGTAATAGAGAAG